TCTACTGAGGACTGGAAAGTGATCTAAAAGTGATCTAAATGGCTGATCTAAAAGAACTTCAGACTCTTGACTTCTTTTCTTCTCAATATTAATCTCTTGTAAAGTAAACCCAAAAGCTAGCAATAAGGGAAGGCATGGCAAGTTGTGTCCTCCTGCATTTTATCAGCTTTGCTATACAGGAGAGAAGTGTTTCTAGTGTGATAGGGCTGTCCCTGGCATACAGAGTAAAGCCACCCATGCAACAGGGAGGACTGTGAAGACTGCACCTGTGGAGGAAGCACTGTGTAAGTGCTCTCTTTCAATGAGAATGCAACCTGGAAGCCTCCCTGAGATAGACTGGGTACAGCTGGTCAGCACAGCAAAGGATAGGACCACTGCTCAGTCACTGTACTGCACATGCAGAAGGTATGGCTCTCTGAAAGCATGAGATGTAAAAAAATAAATAAACAAGACTTGGTATCTCTGGTATGGGTGTGTATGTATAGATGTGGACGTGTGTATGTGTGTATATATAGGTAAGGAACCTAATCCTTTTTTAACTATCACTTGCAATTTAAAAGACACGCTAAGCACTGGATGAGGACACACATTTCCTCTTAGGAAAATAAAAAGGGGGAGGAATCAAACTATGTCTATCTTAAGCTTCATTACCCTATAGTCATACAGACTACTACCTATAGAAACCTTTTAATCCTTAGGTGGTAAGCAATAGGATAGGGATTAGTGTTGATGCAAGGTAGGGGTTGAGAGCAAGGCACAGAGGTAAAACAGATAGAATCAAGTGCCCAAGATAGCAGAGTCTTGTAGAACATACAAATAAGAAGTATTATTTATCTGATATGCCAACAAGAGTATAAAATATAAACATTGTTCATAAAAGTGACATGACATTTTTTAATCAGCCTGGGTGGATTGTATGTCTGACAGTGATCTTTCTTGCACTTTGTCTTTAAGGTGAAGAACAACTAAAACCAACAGGTCTTTGAACCTAGAAAGCCAAGTTTCACAGAATCACAGAAGAATTTACATTAGATGGGTCCTCTGGAGGTCATCTAGTCCAGCCCCCTCCTCAGAGGAGGTCTAGCTAAACAGATTCCTCAGGGCCATGCCCAGTCAAGCCCTGTACACCTTCAAAGATGGTAAGTCCACATCCCCCCTGCTTCAGTATTTGACCACCTTTATGGTAAAACATTTTTATTATACCTAATTAGAACTTCCCATGCTCCACCTTACGTCCACTGCCCATTATTGGACACACACAAGAATAATCTGGCTCTCTCTTATCTGTAGCCTAAGGATAGGTAGTTTCAGCAGTCCGGTCTCTTCTGAGCCTCCTCTTCTCCAAGCTGAATGAACTTCTCTCTCTAAGAACCTCCGCGCATGCCTGTGCTCCAGCCCCCTGACCAGCCTAGTGGCCTTTTGCTGGACTTGCTCCAGTATGACATTATTTTTACTGTACTGTGGAGCCTTCTTGCTATCCCCAAACCACCTTGTGCAGAGTCACGCTAATCTTCTCTGTATCATTCAAATTTTAGCATTATGCTGCCAACAAGAACATGATTTCATTAGAGGATAAACCAGAACCATTAACTTTTTAAAAGGAAGATATTTGGAGACAGTGGAAATTTAAGGCTTTTAACCCGTTTCTGCCTTTCCTGCTATTAAGCAATGTGTCCTTATGTTCTGGTCTTTTTCTCAGCCCACAATTTTCAGTGGCTTCCTGCACTGTATGGAAGTCTTCACAACCCCCTCTCAGCATCCTGAGAGAAGTATTTATATCAGCTTGGGCTCTTGCTTGTGTGTCTCCTCTGCCTCTCTCAGATCTCTTCTTTCTGCATCTTTCTGCTCTTCTACTTCTTGTGCATTTCACCACTCTGTCAGACTTGTTCTGCACTCCAGAAACCTTTCCCCTGAAAAGTTGCTCAACTGCTCTTGGAAAAGCACAATTTCCTTCTCCATCCAGAAGATGCCCCCTGACTGAGTGCAGCCGCATTGTTGTCTGCTGTCTCCTGAAAAGAACATAAAGTCTATGCACAGAGTAACTCCAAATGAAGAAATTAAAATTTATATGCTCAACATGTTAACAGAAACATCCACAACATTGTTATGAAAAGTAATTCATTAGGGTCTGGCCGTGATTTTGGAAATTACTCAGGGTGGTTTTATAACAGTTAAAAACTGTAAGGTGCTGTGTGTGAGGCTTTGGGGTTTGGACATGTTTTTCCAGAACTCTTTACATTTGTCAGTGAGAACATACAGCTCTTTTGACAGTAGGACTTGGGTGGGCTGATGGTTGCTGGATGCTGTAATAGGAGGTTGGCGGGACACAGAATGATAAACTTACTTGTCAACAGCCACACTGGCTTTCTTAGGACAAACTGAGCTTTGTACCTTTGAATCTTGTTTCTCATTAAGTCCCTGGTAATTTTTCTGGTATGGGTTAATTGATTTTGTAATTGTTTGCTGCTGTTTTTATGTCTGCCCAACACAGAACCCTTCTCAGCCAGAGAAGCTCATTTTGTATCTATTATTCCCTGCTTTGTTATGTTGCTTCCCTCAGCCAGAAAGAATTCTTCTTAAATTGTTTGCATGTTAGTGGCAACAGAGATGGAAGACCAAAGAAAATAAAGAAGAGATCCACAGTGAATGTTGAAAATGGGGTCCATCCAGTGTGTGGGATGGAAAATAAGGTTGCAAGCACCCTTAGGGAGATCTCCAGTGGAGTGACCACAGTTTTGCAAGCCAGAAGAAGAGTTTAGAGAGCACCTCAAGAGGAAGAAGACCTATGGCTCCATCTGAATACCGTAAAGCTCTTTCTCTGAAAAGCAAGATACTGGCATAGATGAAGGCCAGGTCAAAGAGCTCTGCAGGGCCATTTTGGCCTCTCTGTCTGCCTTTTCTTCCTGAGTCCAAATGATTGTGTAGGGTTGGTGCTCACATACCATCTCATGGAATTGAGATATTGCTCAGATAGGTGCATGGAGAAGGTTGCTAAAACTATTCTTAGGTACTGTAGGCCAGATGCCTTAATATCTCATCAATTCATAGCTCCTTTGTGGCTCTCTCTTTGGTATTGTGAGCATTTGCTGTTTCTCTCTCATGCAGCACCTTTTCAGTTCCTATTAGTCGTGCATTAGCTGCAAAGCGGTTGTATTGCTGTTCCCTCCCCTCCCATCTTCTCCCCTCCCCTCTCCTCCCCTGCCCTCCCCTGTTGGGCATTATTTCTTCACCCTTGCTACTGACTGTTTTGCTTGACAATTGTTTTGTTTGCAGAAAGTCAGGAAATTTTGCATGCTTTACTTTCAGAGCCAGGATATTAGCATAGAAAATGAATCACTTTTGATCTCTCCTTGGTTTTCCTTGTTACAAAGTAATTTTTCCAGACTTCTGCAAAGCTTTGAGTGCTTCTGTTTTTCCTTTTAGAACAGAGGGACCTGAATTTCCATTGCCTGGCACTGCAGGTGTGTGGTCAGAGTAGTTGCCTCCCCTGTGTATTCTACTTGTAATTACTACACAGATCCAGCCAAAGTGGACTTAGAATACATCTCCTTAAGCCTACCCAAGGCAAGCTCACAGCCTCCTGGGGGTGAGATGTACCTAAGTGAATTTCATCTATTTTATTAGACTTTTGTACACTTGAATGAAGTTCAGTGTAAAAGGTCTCTGCAGAAATAAACATAGCAGATCAGGGGCAAAGTGCAGTTTTCCCTGGTGATTTATATAGTTTAAGATTAGAGCTGGTATTTTGCAAAATGCTGTTTGAAGTTGTTAATTAGGTTTGCCTGAACAGACCAAAACAGACACAGCTAATTGGTTAAGATTATAGCTATGAGATTGTGACCATTATCACTGTGAAATGTCTCGGCGTATGTTCTTGTTCAGGTCTGTTCCTCCATTCTTTTTTGGAGGAGGCAGATAAAGCATGCACTGTATCACTGAGATAGTGAGGAATACTTTTGGGAGTATCATCCCTATCTCAAATCTGCTGTTGTTAATGGGAGGTTTCTTTACTGAATACCTCTGTGTTCATTCTACTTGCATTTTTGACAGGAGGAGTGCTATCAGGTGACTTATCAACTTTTTTTTATGAATAAAGCTTAATAGGAAGCCTTTTCACAGCATGAGAGCATCCATAGGTCCAAAATAATTTAATCAACTCTCACAATCCACGCAGTTACTGGCAAACCTGATTCCTTTTATGAATAATTTTACTTGGATCTTAGTAAGAAAAATGTTCTTGTTAACAGTATGAGCAACAAATTTCCAGACAAAAATATGGAGGAGGGAGAGTATGGATAGACAGAGTCTGGGGGGGCCTGTGACTTCATTGCACTTCACATTATAAGAGGGTTTACTTCAGGAGCCGGTGATGGGATGGAGACTTGAAAGGCCAGGCTACAGGAAATGGGAATGGTGAGTCAGGAAATGGCAGTCTTCCCTCCGAGTCATCCTTGAACTACTGCCCTGGTGTGTTCAGAATGGGAATTGGATTAGTAGAGATGTTGTTCCTTCAGAAGAGGTTTCAAACTTGTGTCGTGACCATTTGATGTTGTTAAACATTACGTGCTGTTACTCCTTGAGAGCATGGATTTCAGATCCTGCATCTGCTCTGATCCGTAGTGTGGGTGGCTTCCGGTGCTCTGTAGCTGTCCCTGTCCGCAGTGGCGGATCCTCCATGCCTCCCTCCTGGCCCAGCTCTCCATCCTATGAGCACTGTTATGCACCTGCCTCGTTTCTTGTTGAAGCTGCTGCGTGGCTGGTGACCCAGAGGTGTCTTGCGTGGCTGCTAAACAGCTGTAATTTCCCATAACAAGCAAATTATACTCTCTAACACTTGATCGGCTCACCAGGAGCAGAAGAGCTATCTGTTAGGGGGCCAATGGTAGTATTTGGTGATTGCAGGGGTGCTCACCATGAGGGTATGTGGGGCGACTTAACTCATCAGTAAATATAAGTATCTAAATGGACTCAGGCTTTCCTCTGTGGTACCAAGCAACAGGTCAAGAGGCAATGGGCAGAAACTGATGCACAGGAAGTTCCACCTGAATATGAGGAAGAACTTTATTGTGTGAGTGACCGAGCACTGGAATAGATTGTGGAGTCTCCCTCACTAGAGATATTCAAGAACCATCTGGATGCAATCCTGTGCAATGTGCTCCAGGATGACCCTGCCTGAGCAGGGAGGTTGGACCAGATGACCCTCTGTGGTCCCTTTCAGCCTGACCGATTCTGTGGTTCTGTTGACTGGGCAGGCAGGCAGCTGCAAACCCGAGCCCGCCGGTCAGATCACAGCTTGGAAAAGGCACCTGAGCCGGAACGCGCGCCGCGCTCCCACCTCTGAATTCTCCGCTGTTAATGGGCAGGACGAGGTTACGCTTCGTGGCGAATTTCGACGCGGCGGAGCCCGACCGGAGCGGCAGCGCCGGCAGCGGCCGCCAGATGCCGCCCTGCCCAACGCCTTGGCGGGGCCGCCGCGCTCGGCGGAGCGGCCTCCCCGCCGCCTCTGCCCCCCGGCTGCGGCGGCGCCGCCTTCCAGCTCCACTCACAGAATTGTAAGTTGGAAGGCACCCCTGGAGATCATCCAGTCCAGCCCCCCTGCCAAGGCAGGATCTCCTCGAGCAGGTTACACAGGAACGCGTCCAGGTGGGTCTTGGATGTCTCCAGCGAGGGAGGCTCCATGACCTCCCTGGGCAGCCGCTTCCAGTGTTCTGCAACCCTCAATGGAAAGCAGTTGTTCCTTATGTTGAGATGAAACTTCTTATGTTTTAGTTTATGTCCATTGCTCCTTTTCCTGTCACTGGGCACCACTGAAAGAGTCTGGTACCATCCTCTTGGCCTTTGATATATTTATAGGCATTGATGAGATTCCCTCTTAGTCTTTCCCTCTGTACACAGAACAGGCCCAGCTCTTGTAGTCTCTCCTCATAAGAGATGCTCCAGACCCCTCATCATCTTTGTGATGATGGGGGAGTGGGTTTGGGTGAAATGGGCCTCCTGGGCCATGTGTAGGGTCAGGGGTGACCTCTGGTGAGGCTGAGTGAGGCCACTAAATTCGAGCACTCAGGGCCCTGGCACTAGCTGGGATTCATCAGTCTTCTTCAGGGACTGCAGAGCGACCAGCACAAGGGTCATCTTGTGGTGACAGAAGGATACGTGGCAGTATCCTGTGCTCAAACCGAGCGCTCTGTTCATTACAGGCATTTTCAAATGATATTTCTTAAAGACAAAGCAAAAACAAGCTGCCCTTGAACGGAATAGGAAAGTAATCTGAATGTTGAATTTCAGTAGCAATTGCCTGTGTTGCCCTTTTGAACCCTGTGTGTTTCAGTTTTCCCTCCCTGAGCATTCTCCTCAAAAGAACTGATGCATTGACTACATGCATGATTTTGGGGAGAAAAACAGTTTGAAGAACACAGCCCTGTGCCGTGTCAGCCAGCTGACTGTGTGCATTCATCGGGGAAAAAGTTGAGGGCAGTTAGTCCACACTTCAAGACTGGCTCTCAAGGAGGCCAAGGCCACTGAGATTTTGGGATTATTCATGTTTCAGAGTCAGTTTTCAAGACAAAATTGTTTAGGGCCTAAAGGAATATAAACAACTGTCACGTGTAGTTGTTGGAGCTTCTTTTATGAGAGGCTTGTATTACTTAAAAATTGCTTACGATTGCTAATTTAGCATCTGTGTGGAATGCTGTATTGTCTGGACTCCTGTATTTGCAATCAGAGCAGATAGCAGAAGCATAAGCACTTCCTGCACAGCTTCTTGGCTGCGACCTGGACTGACCTCGTGAACGGCAAGTCGGGGTGAGCAGTATCAGACTTGGATGCTTTCTTCCATTATCACTGCTGTGTTAACCTAGCAAAACTGCTTGGCTTCTCTGCTGAGCTTTCCAGCTACACTGTAAACATCTGTCTACCAACTGACTGAAACCACTGCATCGTTTTGTGTAGGCTACCGAACAGCTGTCAGATAGGAATAACTTGGATTATCCCATGTCTTAACCAATGTTCTAGATGCAAGAGGTTCTGAACACTTTTATCTTTCCTTGACTTTCCCTTTTTTTTGACTGAATCCTTCTCAGCTATATGTTTTCATTCTCTTAGTAGGCCTTTAAATAACCCACAAGAGTGTGCTGGATGTTATCCTCCTGCAGAGCTCAAGTAGATTAGGCAGGAGCATTGAGTTCATTGGATCACTATGGATCCACTCAGTTCTTCTATGCATCTCCTATCCATTAGTGTCCCATCTCTAAGAGACTTAGTGATATTAGTTTTGACAGGATACATTATGCTGTCCAAGGTTATGTCTGAGAACCATAAAACTACAAAAAGAGGATCTCCAGGACAGCACTACAAGCAACTGTAATGGCAGATGAGCTGAGATCTCTGATAATTATTTTCTGCCAGCATGGACATGTGTGTTGCTTTCAGGGTGACAATAGGCTATGAGTGAGAATACCTGTGCAAAAAATATACCATAGACTTGGAAATGTTTGGTTTGGAAAAAGGGTGCTTTTCACATATGTTAGAACTCGCCAGACTTTCTGAAGTCAAATGGGAATTTCAAAACACTTGATCCTTCAGGTTAGGCTGTCCATACATATGAAGGAGCCTTGGAACAGTCATTCTGAAGTTAGAGAAACAGGCTCATTGAAGAGATGCTCATACAGATGGTTAGGCTTGAAATTTGGGATTTATTTGGCTGAATACCACAGAAGTCATCTTTAAGTTCTCCGTGACTCATCCAGGCTGTCTGAACTTCTCAGACTGAAGAGAGGAAGCAATGAGCAGGTTCAATGATGACAGAGCTTCCTGTCTTCCCTTGAACAGACCTTTTTCATTATATTCTGCTGATTCAAGTTGAGTTCAGTGACTGGGCAAAAACAGGAGAGAAAATGCTGGTTGTGGAATGCCATTCTTGCCAAACCTTTTCAGCATCCAAGGAAGGCTTATTTTGGCAGAATGTTAAAAATGCTCTCTGGATTGCTTTTTATTTGGAGAGGTAGATGGGAAAGATGCTCCTCCCTAGGCACTGAACCATAAATATTTGACTTTTATACAACCAAATTCCTCTGAGTAGACATGGAATAAGTGACAAAAAATGGGCTTTTACCAAACCTGTGGAATTCATTTCAACATTGCCAGGTGTTTGGCTGTAAGACTGTGAGGTCCCATATTTAACAGCTCATATACTTTGCCAATAATATGTGAAGTGTTTCATTATCTTATACACTGTAGTTGGCACACATCAGTTTGCAGACAAAGAGTAATGGTTTATGATGTTTGTGGATTCCATGTGCAGTTGTAGGCATAAAATGGTGTGTGGTGTATGATAAGACAAATACATAAGAATGAAAGAGCTCATATAGCAAATACAAGATATTTTCAAGTCTATGATACATAAAACCGTAAATTGTTAAGTACCATCAGAATTTTGATTTTTGTCTCCTTTTATAATTGACAGGAGTAAAGAACAATGAAGAAGCTTGCCTTCAGCTCACTCAAGCTGTTCAAGGAGCACTTGGGGCAGATCAAGAGCTGTGTTATTTTGAGTCTGCAAAATAACCAGGTAGGAGTTCAAGGAGTACTTGGGAAAGATGAAGAGCTAAGTTATTGTGAGGCTGCAAAATAGCCAGGGCTTTTTAGAGTGTTCATCCTAAAGGCTAAGTTTTTCACAAATTAAAGCTTAGTTTAGGTGGACAAGCTTACTGGACCAACTGCTTATTCACATCAATTCCCAATATGCAGTGAAGTATTTCAATCAATATTGAAATAATTACTGCAAGATTCTGGTTATGAGCATTTTTATGGATCTTTTTTCCCCTGTGGTGTTTTCACTCTTTTCTGAGTTTTAATCTTTCCAGAAAAAAAAGTAAGTATCAAAAAGCTTGAAACTTTAACCTACTTCTAAGTAAATCTTTGATTGAGCAAATCTTTAATGTGTTGCTTTGCAGCATAGCAGTGTATTTAAGTGTGCACTCCTTTATGTGTAACAAATGTTTTGCTGAGGTAGGGTCTAAGGATGAAAAGCATCTGCCTATTTACACCAGCAACTCCCCAAGCATGGGAATCTGGTGTGTTGCAAGAGTGGCGATGTTTGCTGTGGCAGTGCTTGCAGCAGCCTGTGTGGTCTGCCCTGCTGGCCTTAGCAGCCCGTCTGGAGAACTGGCAGGGGCGAGCTGCCCAGGAGACCTTGGTCCCTGGGTGAGCTCTCAAACAGCCCACCAAGTCACAGGGCTGCTCCCCAGCTGCAGCGAGCAGGGCAGCTCAGGGAGATCTGCCATGTCTCACCAGTTGTAATCCAGAAAAAAAACAAGCTCCGGGTATCTAGAAGAGTGAGGAGGAGAAAGTTTGAAAAAGCAGAACAGGAAGCTTCTTGCTTTCATGTCTTCTGCAAGGACTTTGGCAGACTGGCGTGTTTTGTGGTGGTTCTGCTGATGCTTTGGACCTCTGTCAGATGCATTTTTTTTAGAGAGCTAGTGAATTTTTGCATATGAACAAGAGAGCATGTCATTTGTCTGACGCTGAATTTCAATACTTTTAGTATTTTCCCCCTTGAGGTGGTTTAGGAATATGGAAGATGATTTTAATGAAATTTTTATTGTTATTTCTAGTGCGTTTTCTGTGGTGTAAACGCTGACTGAACAAAAAACTGAAAGGTGGTCCCATCCCTTGGGGGACTGGAACCTGGTATTAGCCATCTGACCAAGAAATGATTAGAACAGTCACTGGAGAGGATAAGGTAAGAGTAACATTATTTATATGCATTTAAAAAATAATATCTAATAAGTTTAACCCAGAGGGCTCCACAATCATCAACAGCATGAAGTTTAACAAAAACAAGTGCTGAATTTTTTACTTGGGTCGAGGCAACCCTGAATACACATAAAGTCTGGTGAATGAGATTCTAGAAAGCAGAGCCATGGAAAGGGACCTGGAGGTCCTGGCCAATAGAAAGTTGGCCAATATGAGTCCTGGCAGCCAGGAGGGCCAACTGTGTCCTGGGGGGCATCAGGCAAAGCATCGTCAGCCGGTCGAGGGAGGGGATTGTCCCGCTTTGCTCTGCATTGGTGCAGCCTCACCTGAAATATTGTGTGCAGTTTTGGGCACCAAAATATAAGAAAAGATATAAAACTATTGGAGACTGTCGAAAGGCGGGCAACGAGGATGGTGAAGGGTCCCCTAGAGGGGAAGCCACATGAGAAGTAGCTGAGATCACTTGGTCTGTTCAGCCTGGAGATGAGGAGACTGAGGGGAGACTTCACAGCACTCTACAGCTTCCTCACAAGGGGAAGTGGAGGGGCAGGCACTGATCTCTTCTCTCTGGTGACCAGTGACAGGACCTAAGGGAATGGCATGAAACTGTGTCAGGAGGTTTAGGTTGGATATTAGGAAAAGGTTTTTCTCTCAGAGGGTGGTTGGGCCCTGGAACAGGCTCCCCAGGGAAGTGGTCACAGCACCAAACCTGCCAGAGTTCAAGAAGTGTTTGGACAATGCTCTCAGGCACATGGTGTGATTCTTGGGGTTGTCCCATGCAAGCACAGGCATTGGACTTCCATGATCCCTGTGGATCTTTTCCAGCTCAGGATATTCTATCATTCTATGATTTTACCTGCTTTGATGCAGATGATCACTAAAATAGTGTATTTGAAGTTGTCTGAACTCACTGGTTTCTTATTATCAGAGAAACAGGCAGTTCTAAGAGATGCATGTTTCTCTTTGTGTTTAAAAGAAGTAAAACCCGAGAAACTTTCCAAAAGCCTGAATCTTTTGAGGAAAATTATGAAAATAAAGCTTTCAACTGAATCTGTCTTACTATGCTGATGCTTCTGTGGCTCGTCTCACTTCTAGTGACTGTATAGATATTGTTCGTTCATATTCCTGACAGGACAGTTGCGAAGCCCTTTTTCTGGCACTGATGATGTAACAGAAGACCAGAGGATTCCTGTATCAACTTTCTGCCTTTGCTGCTTAACCTCCCTTTTGAGGAAACTTCCTTATTTGGAGAAAGTAGTGCACACAGATCCAGATTCAGCAATGTTTTCTGGCTGATAGCGATTCGATATGGCCTTATGCAATTTTTGTTCTCCCAGCTTCCACACACAGGGGAGTTCACTATTTTCTGTTTTATCTTAGTTGTCTGTAGTCTCCCTACAGTGGCTGGACAAAATGTTTCCACAGACATAAAAAATGATCCTCAGTTTGACTATAGAAATCTGTGTTTAAAACAGGCTTTGATTCAGAGAGGACTTAAAGTGTGCTTTAACTATTAGTCTATCATCTATTTTTGGGCAGAAAATAATTCAGTAATGTCTAGCTTTTAGTCATAGTATATCATGATTAGGATGTTTATGTAGGATGAGGATAGCAGAAAAATTCTGAGAAGGCTTGCCTGTGCATTTCTGAGTGGTCTAAACCCAAATGTGGATCAGTTACTGATATTGTCTGAACCAGGTGACAAAATCAAACCATATCTGTTTGGGCCATATGAAATGTCCTCTAAATAGCCTTTGAAAACATGAGCATTAGGTAAATTATGGTTATTATTAGTGAGCTGATGTTTAATTTTGAACTACAGCTTAAATGAGATGTCAGACTATTAGTTTCTAACAGTAATCACTTAAATGAAATTTCATTAAAATACTTGTGAATAATTAATGACATTAAATCACTGACATTTTAACAAATCTTTGTCTAAGACCTGAAGACCTGGTGAAATATGCAGTTTTCATAAATTGAAATAGAAAAACCAGAATCTCATCTGCCTAAAACATAAACCTGTTCAATGCAGAGAAGGAAGTTACAGTTTAGGATACCAGAAATTTGAGATATAATTTCAATATTCATTAATCTTTTTTTCGAAGACATCGGTGCATGTAGAAGCAATAAGGCACGTCCCTATTTCAGTGCACATCATTTTAGGTCTAGGAGTGCAGAGTGTAAAAATAAATTTTTCTTATGTTATGTTTTAATCAAGATAAAATGACAGTTTTAGAGTCACAGTGTGCATATAACAAGATAAGCAGTGCTACTTCAGCACAACTTGCATGTATTGTTAGAAAGCAGCATGCACTTAGAAGCAAATGACGGCCCTGAAGTTATGGTGATATTGTAAGGCATTGGTATAAAGTGGTTATCTTTTATATCATTCTTACAACCTTGGCACACATGGTTTATGTTCAAGAATTTGATTTCCTTAGTTTTATACTTTTGCTGTCCTTAAAATCCACCATACATCCAAGAATGAATGTAGTCAATTAAAGAATTTCATAAAACTTTGTTTCTTGAGGGCAGAAATTATTAGAAAACAGAACATTTGTATCAATATTTTATTTGCAATACTGTCCTCTCAATATATACTCACAGCTCTCCATTATTGTTGGTGGGAGTTATACATGCAGGAGTCAAGCAGAATTAAGCTTTCATGAGTAGCCAGTTAACAGATAGATGTTGTATCTCTGTGCTCTGTAAATTAGATGTTGTTCTTAAAGAGGGTTTTCACAAGCCCTGGTTATGTTTTTTTCTTAGCTAAATTTCATGATCTTATATGTTATTTTTTTAATAGGGTTTGTAGTTTTTGCAAACACCAGTATGCCTTATGGTGACTGATGATTTTTGTTTAACCTGATTCTACACATTGCCTTGAAATATTTTTATATTTCAATGTAACTTGGAACTAAGATCCATTTCTTGAAGTGTAGCTAATAATGCTCTGGACTGTTCCTACTGCAATGATGTTAATTCTTCCCAGTCTCTGTTATGCTGGTCTGGCTTGCACAAAGAGTTTAAAAAGGCCAGGAACCTAAGACCACCGGCATTGCAGGGAAATAACATCTGAAGAGCTCCCAGTCCTACAGTCCGCCCTCCTGCTGCTGAAGAGCAATAGCAGACTTGATTGGGGTTTATTTGTGGATGGCTATTTTCTAAAAAATAACAAATCAAAGAAATAAATCAGTACAGATCTTATATTACATTTTATATGCTTTGTTTTGTTGGTGGCTGTAGCATGACTGATAGAAAAGGAAACACATTTTTGCTACTGGGAACATGCTTAAGCTTATTTTGTTTATTGTAGTACTTTTCTGTCATTTTGCTTATTCTTTGAAACACTTCCTGCCACTTTTATTTTACTTTTTCCCCCCAAAATCTACAGATTGTATAATTGTATAGTCATCAGTTTCTTCTGAGTTTAATCTTTTTTTTTTTTTTTTGCACCTTGGGTTGATCTTGCAGTTCCTATTTAGTCCTTACTTTGGAGAAAACCCTTAGTGACTTCAACAGGTGGTCTCCTGGAATCAGCTCTTGGTTTTGCCGTATTGAGTGCGTGATGTCTGTTGGACAGTTACAATCTGAAATTGTATACCAAAATCACCAGCCAGGTCCTCCAGAACCGCTCTTTGAATCTGCTGTGTTATTGAAGTCTCATTGGACTACTCACATGGTGATAAGAGTGGTAAAGGGAGACTGCAAAGTCCATGCCCACTCTTCAGAGCCCAAAGAAGGAGGCATAGGAGGGTATTTGGGACAGAGTCAAAAAAGTCAACTATATTTTGTTTTCTTTTGTGGTGCTTCAACAGATGAAAGGTGCCTTCTTTATTCAAATGATAGAATGTGGAGATATCCTGTTCACATGTACACATAATGCATGTGCTGTAGGACTGGGGGTTTGGTTTTATATCCAGAATTGCTCTATGAAGTTGCCGGGTTCCTTACTAGTTTCCTTGAATCCAGAAGCATGTCTGTTTTGCAGGTGTTTTGCTAAAATTACATTCCATTGCAAAGAACAGATCTTATCCTGTTTGTATTTTTTAAATGCTACCTTCACTTGTGGAATCACATAAGCAATTATTAATAGCCAAACAATCAAACAAGATGGTTTTGATTTGGATTTAAGTCGTCGAGTAGTCTTTTGCTGATCCATGCAAAACACTTCAATTGTGTGATCATTTTTAATCATCACTAATGAAGTTGACACACCCATGATGTTGTTTTTGGCTTTGATACCTAGAAGACTTAGTGAAGTGGCTGGAGGGTTTGGTTGTGTTCCACATCTCACAGCGTCATGGGACACTGGGACAGTAGTTGCTCCAGGGAAGCAAGAGAAAATCAACATTGGCATCATCAGTATTCATCTTCACTCCCACTCTGATTCTGCTCTGGTTTCTTTTAGCTTCTCACTTGTCGTCAATGCAGCAGCAGGAGAGCATCATGACTTGGTTTGTGCGGGAAAAAAAAAAAAGGAAGACTAAAAATGGCTTGATCTCAATTTTCAAAGTATGGGTCTGAGCAAAAGTAGGTGATACTTCACGGATCTTTGGGAAAGAGGTTTTACAAAATCTAGGTACTGGACATTTAAAGCTAATCAGGTTTAACCTGGGAATAAACTGAAAAATAAGTTATACAAGGGTAAGTAATTATTGGAAAATTGCTAAGGTATATAGTAGACTATCCATAAGGAAGTCTTTAAAACAATATATCTAAAAGATATGAGCTGTAAATCAACCAGACATTACAGTCTGTGTGATCAGGAGACTGGTCCAAATGGAGATGGTGATTTCTGTTGAATTTCTAGGTCCTACCACAGGAAACCAGTAAGGAAGAAGGAAAGTTGCTTCTTTTAAGTGACCAATACCTCCTGACTTTTCTGTCAAAATAGGTCAAAAATGGGTTGTATCTTGACAAGAGTGATAAATGTTTAAACTGTATGGTACTTTTTCCATATTTCATTCTTAACTGAAGAGGTAGGCTCTCTTCAGGAAAAACAGCCACATTAATGACTTATAATTGTTAAAGTGTGCTAGTTAATGTTGAGAGACTTTGCTTAGGTTGTAGGGTAGGAGAGGGAAGCTCCTTCCCTCTCTTTTCTTCAAATAGTCCAAGTCCTGACCTCAGGCTTGGACCTTTACCCTTTCTTCTCTTGCACTGTCTGTTCAGAAAGCAGGAATAATGGATCTCCTGAATGATGGCTGTGATTTTAATGTGGGATTTTGCTTGTGAAATTGCCTTCTCTTCCGTATGGGAAGGACTTGGTATCATCCTAGCTGGTACTACTGTGATGGCTGCAGAACTAGACCTGACGTCTCTTACTTCTATGGAGTGTAGTCAGAGCTGGCACACTGACCTTCACCAGCTACAATGAAGTGCCCTAAATTTATTTAGCCCTCTAGAAGCACCCTGTTGGTGTTGGGCACACTTAGAAGCTCAGAAATTATATTCATATATGTGTATCAATAGAAGGAACAAAAGTAGCTGTAATACTGGAATAGAAAACATACAGGAATAACAGAATAGCTTTGCTGGTGGGTAAGTGGCTTGATACATTGAAATTAATTTTCAAACAAACTAAATAAATTAACTGTACCACAATGTGCCTGTGGTTTGAATTCCAATTAGAAGGAATATTATAGTGGTGTATTTACAATATTGATCACTTGGTTGGATAACTAAAAATGTATGTGAATGATAAGAGAGAGTAAAAAATCACAGTGATAATGAAAAATTTAACTGTAAACATCATATGGGTGTGTAAGACAGAACTTTTTTTTTGTTAAACAACAAATGAAATTTTACAGTAAATGGCCACAGAACAAATAGGAGGAGAAACAGCTTACAATTTATGCCTGAGTTCCTGTGCCAGACATGACTCAGAAGGTAACTGTCAAAGAGTTAGTGCAGTAGCAATTGCCATGTACTGAAGCTTAGCATTCTTGTGAAAGACCCACAGAGGTGTTAGACAAAACTGAGGAAGCCTCTCAGAAGGAAAATTAAAACAGCCAAGATGTTAAATTTCTTAAAGTGCCATGAAATATAAGGGGTGGATTTAGGGTCTTTTTGATAGATAGTGTGCTTTTTCTCTCCAAAAATTAGCTTCTAAAAAGACGAAAAAAGAATAAAAGAAATAAAAAGACATAATTGAATATGTGGAAGTAATTTCAAATAAGGAGCATACAAAGGAGAATTAACTTTCACAAGATACATGTCAAAACACAGTAAGGTACACCAAAAAGACTTTGAAGAAAATTGTGAAGGAAAAGTAAATAAATTCACTTTTCTATCATTAGAAGTTGAAACATGACTGCTATATCTGTAGAATATCAAAGAAATATGATAGCAGTGTACTGATAGTATGGAGGAGCTTACAGCTGCTGCAACATTTTTTTTTTCAGGAGGTGAGGGAAGGAAATACATTCAAATTGAGGGAGAATAGTTTTAGGCTAAGTATAGCATAATTTTTATGAAATTCTAAAGACAAGTGCTGCTTACTGAGTAGTTTAAATGACACAAATATTAAATTGCCAAAATCTTAACTGGAATATGTGTTCTAGATGTTTGTAGGTGGAAAGTGGCTGTTTTGTTGCCAGTCTAGAGTGTCTGACTTTGTGGTAGGCAGACTTTTAGAAGCTATGTGATAAAGATATGTGAGGAGGCACAGGGATATCTATCATGAAATATTGCCACTGTGGTTTTGTAGCTCTGCCTCGCTATTCTACCAATTTTTCTGAAGGAGTCAATATTGGGCAGTTGGATGTTGTGTGGTGCTCCAAGAAACATAATCCAATGTCATCATCTTATAAAATTATGGTGATGTTCAGTAAGTGGGAAAGTTCCCTTCTGAGAAGAATGTGAGAAGTGAAAATTTACTTGCAGAGTAAAGGAATTTTCCACTAAGGTCTTACTAGGTTAGTCTGCATATATGGGCCTATCAGTGTATTTATGAGAGGATGAAGGACAAGGTAGGCATAATCAGGAAGGATGGGCCTTTACAGGGCAGTAGAAAAAAGGTCATAACACCTAAAGATTGAACAATAAAGTGGCAGATTAAATTCTATGTTAATAAATGCAAAATAATCCATCCGGGGAGAAAAACCAGCCATGACTGTATGTTATTCAATGCTAAGACTCCACATTAGCTGTTGCTGTTCAGGGAAGGCACCTTGAAATAGTTGCAGGCAGGTCTATGCAAACTTAACTCACAGCTAGTCAAAAAACATGAGTGAATTGTAGGAATGGATAGAAAGGGGACAGACAACTAAACAGAAAACATCCCTGACTTTGTTTAAATACAGGATAGACTTCTTGTTCTTTGTAATAGGCCAAGTAAATAGATGAAATAAGTATTACTACATAGTTAAGTATTAACTGATTTCATAGGAAGCCAATCCCATTTAAAAACAGACGGCTCGAAGAGTGATAAAAATATCAAAAGGTCTAAATGAAACTTTTCCCCTCAAAAATTAAGTTTTTCAAGATCACAATGCAAGTTGCTTCTCCAAGCCCTTGTAGCTAAGGGATTCACAGACTCCTACTTAAAAAGAATCATGATTGATATATCATAACTACCAAGAAACTTCAGGCTGCTGCAAAAAAAGTCTAGTAAGCAGCCCACAATCCTTATGGAGTCATTTCAGTATCTCTTAGCATGTAAAGTTGTCCATGACCCACTGAACAGGCAAACATTCCTAGGTTTTATTACATGTAATGGTATGGAGTGATGCTTAATAATGTTTTATGTTACAGGTTACAAGCTAACTCTAAAAATGAAGTTGTGACAAATGACACTTTGTGTGCAAATTGTTAAAGACGGAGAATTTCAATGTTAATTTTTATTAGGGATGAAAGATAAAGAAGATGCAAGGTGAAAAACAGAGGTAATGTTTTCTTGTAAGGGGAACATTTGTGCAAATGTCATGCATTAGCCAGAATTTTATTAATGGTTATCTTAGCTTTCTTTTCTCACTCCTATGCTTTTGGGTGTTTGAAGAGGGAGGGTCATGTCTCCCCCTCCTTCCTGTTCAATAAATATTTAACAACATGGGCATTTTCAGTGTCCTGGGGCAGTCCTTTGAGCTAACAATTAACATAGGAGAGACACCCTCTCAGTTATTGTTTCAGCATCTCTTTCTGCAGGCTCACAAAAGTATTCTGATTGATGTTTGGCAATTTCAGAGTCAGAAGGATTTGAGCTAGCCAAAAGGACTAGATTATTATTACTACATTCTTAATGTCAGCATAGATTCTATAGGCTCTGGCAGAAGTGATGAAGACAACAGGCCTGCCCTGTGCTTCAGATCTGACTGTTACACAAATGTAATCCTTAACAGTATCCATCAGTTAAACTAAATAAATACATACAATATATCTATGTATGCATAGATATATATATAGATATATATAATGAAGCATCTCTTGTTTATTAACCCTGAACTACAAAAAATTTTGCAAACACATAATGATGTCTGTTGCCTTAGCAGAAGTTGCAGTAACTTTATTTACTTAGCATTACTTTTTTGGATGGCCATCTTGGCTGTTGTAAGTGACATCAGACTGAGGGAGAAAGTTTCCAAACTGAGACAACCTCTGCCAAAACTGAAAGAATTCTGTTATTGTTAAACTCTACATGTAACTCCCGAACAGCAGTGCTGTGTTTTGGGAAACACTGATCAACTGGGACCCAGAAACAGGCAACAAAAAGACTTTGCTGGCTCCAAATGGCAAATTCCCTTCTCTGAAAGGGCAAAATGAAAGGAGGTAAGATTCCTCCTTCCTTATGCACTTCTAAATATGCAGTTTCCTATTTGGAAGGATTTATCAGCTAGGTAAGACTTATATGTCTTGGAAATGTTCAAACTAGAAATAAAAAAAGAGAGGAATAAGATCAGTGTGGCTAGTAAGAATGAGAGTGATGCTAGAGCATACCATCCAACTTTAATTATAGTTTGCAATTTACTGTAAATAACCTTATGATATTTTCCTAGTTTAGGGGAAATTCTTCAAACTTTTGCTCAACTAACTTCCATGGGAATTCATTTGAATAACAACTTTGAGAATCAAGATATGGAAATAATTATTCTCTCTCAACAAGCTGGATAGCTTGTCAGCTATCAGTACTACCACAGATTTCTGCATGTACTGAGCTGGGCCAACCCCTGAGAAATGAAGCTACATCAAGCTGATTTGTTTGTCTTCCATTCTAAGGACTGTACACTTCTAAAAAGCACAACATTCATGTCTAGGCCTGGCAAGGACTGACACCTTTCTTCTTTTATCCCCCTCTTCTTGTTCCGATCAATATCCTAGGTGTGTTGTTCATTCGTTCTTTTTGGTGTCTGCTGTTGTCACTTCTTTGAATAAAAATCTACAAAGAAAATACCTCCCTACTTGATAATTTTTTCCAATAAATGCTCATTTGCTTCTGTTGGTCAGTTTATTTAAGGAATTACCAGGGTGTTGTAAAGGATAATTGGGAGTCTGGGGAAATATAATGTGTAATGATGAAGTTGTCCACTCTGAGATCCGAACAATGTAGACTCTGCTGCTGGCACTGTGCTAATTGGTAGGGCCATGCTTCACAGGCAAATAGAAGAGGACAGGTGGTGAGCACAACAGTTCTGGTATCGGCGGGGTTTGCAGGGCATCTGTGCTCACAGTCTTGCCTTCAAGGGCATAAAAATTCACATGTAGATAGTCAAGAAACAGACACGTATAATAAAAAATAAAACCAGAATGTAATTAAATAATAAAACATGACAAACAGTGCATTTCTAGGGAATTACAGCATGCCTTGGGTGGAGCTATAAGGCATGAGGCCAAAAGTTGGATGTCTTTAATCATCCAGGAGGCACAGAAAGCCCCTGATGCTGACAGTGCTAGAGAAAGGAAGAGTGGGATGGTGTGGGCAGTCTTTCTGCATATAGTTTAGAAACCAAGTTTGATTTTATACTATTTGGGCATGGAGTTGTCTGTATCTCCTGCTTGCTTTTTGCTGTGTATGGCCTCAATTGGTTAACCTACTAAGACTGCAGAGTGATGCTGACACATCAAACCAGATAGTTCAGCACCCAAGTACATCTAATGAGTGGAGCAGGAAGTCTTGTCCTGGATCAAGTCAGTTTTTTCCAGCCCCTGTGCCTGGACTGGGATTTCCATGAGTAAACCTCAAGAGCAATGAGAGCAGCTGCTAACTCTGGTATGGGGAACAGGGAGAATGAGAGGATCCCTGGAGTGCTGTAAACTGGACTGCCGAGGGGTCTGTGCTGAGGCTAAGGCTGGGGAGACTTGAGGTGATGTGTCTGGGGTAACAGACATTTGTGACCATGGGCTTGGCCAGAGAGGCCCAGAGGGTGAGTTGGAAACCAGAGTTGCATTTTTCAGTGAGGAGGGACAAATGATGAGCAAGACCATTTCAGTGCTTTTCAGTGGGGATGAATAACATAAACTCTGATACCACCACGTGTCCTGATGGCTACTGCTGTACATCTGTACAGGGGCTGTGAGATTTCAAGGAGCTGTGGGTGGAATGACTAGTTTCTTCCTCTTCATGGTCATCTTCTCCAAGTGATCTTTCTAAGGATCTGAAGCTTTATCCAAGAGGTAGGTATGAGGCAATGCTTGCAGGTGCAGAGTTTTTCATACCTTGTGTTCTTCCTGTTATTTTCTGTCATTTGCCTGGAGAGATAGCAGAAGTGAGCAGACATAAGGCTTCTGCTGAGAACTGCAGCTGGCAACAGGATGTCGTCTCTCAGCGAGAGAAAGAAGCCAAACCCAGTGCTCTTGCTGCAGTGACAGCTCCCAGGAGGGTGGAGAGTAACAGGCTCTTGGAGAAGAGGTCTTGTGAGGTGGGAGCCTTTGTGTCATGATGGTAATAAAGCCTTCAGAGACAGAACATGCTGATTCACAGAAATTGAGACTGTTTGTGGGAAAGGATTGGCTTTCACAAATATCTTGACTTGAAAACTATGGTGGAAATAAAATTTTGGAACTGTCAGAATGTTTTGGTAATTTCTAACTGAATGGCTTTCTCATTCGAAATTACTTTTTGTTTTGAAAATTAAACTTAATAGCATATTTAAGAAGTTGCATTGAAAAGATATGTTTTGAAATTGTCAAAGCAAAATGCTGACCTTGAACTCCAGGGCTTTTTTCTTTGCCTCATGTCTTCAGCTTTGAAAATTGCAATAATTTAAAACTTTCCTCCCACTTTGAAGTGGGATATCGATATCTAGAAAACTGTTTACAGTGAATTGTTTCTCTCTCTGCTTAACATAATGAACTGTGCCACTTCAACATGGAGTAGCTCCATTTAAAACCAACAAATTTCTAATAAATTCACTTAAAAAAAAGAAATATAACAATTCTATTTCTACAAAGCCACCTTTTCCTGTCACAGTTAGTCTCCCACAAGTACAAGCAGGTTTTCTGATTTTAGGCTTAAAATGTTTACTGGTGATTGTAATGCACTCAAAAGAAACCAAATACAGATGGTTAAGTTTGAACAATGTTTTTCTCACACAGTATTTAAGGTTCAAGAAAGTCATAAAACAAAGAAGTCCCAATTCAGTACTGTGCAGCATGTCCTGCTGATGTGTTTATTTCTGTTGCCTGGATTTTAATCACTGGGATGTGCTTACTTCAAATGTGATGCTAAACATTGCCTGTTATTATAATGCATTTCCCAGGAAAGTGCATTCTGACTAGCATGCAAAGCGCAGGAGAAAAGCATAGGAGGATTATTATTTCTTTTTTTAAAGCATGGCCTTAAGAAAAACAATGGTTCATTCTTTCAAGCCCTGTATCCTGAGTCCTATTTATACTGTTACCAGTTTGGCAAAGGGAAAGGGGCTTCCAAGTGAGTGTGAATTACGGTTGTACCTACAGGCTTGCAGTACCAGGGGGCCATGCTCAAAGTGTCAATTCAGCTCCTCACAACTCACTATCATACTTTCTGCCCACACTGTGCCAGGAGGCTTCATGGCGTGGCTCACAGCCTTATCAATGTGCTTAGTCAACCTTGCAGGGCCCAACTCCCAGTGCCCATCTGCTCTGTGTGGACATTAAAGACACCACTATGCTTTTTTCCTAAGTATAGTGGTTTGTTGCAGAGTTCTTGACTGTAATTATGTCCCACAGTAACCATTGTGCAGCAAGACATGAGTCAGTCATTGACTTTCAGTCCAGCAGTGGTTGTGTTTTGGTGGTGATGGAGATTTCTGGGGCAGTGAGTGAGTTATACAGTGAAGCCCCGATACTGATGTCATTAGGGCAGCTGGGCTCACTGGTTTAGCTTGTGTGATAGAAATGCTTCTCATCACAGTGATGCCCAGGTGACATAAGGTGTATAGAGATATGATTGTTGTTTTTTTTTGTTTTGTTTGTTTTGGCTTATTTATTTACTTATATTTATTTATTTATTTATATTTATTTATTTATTTGTAACATTCTTGGCACTTTTATAGTACTATACATTGGTTAAATATATTATATTAAAGCGATGGTGTATGGTGAAGGTGGGTGAAAAGTAAAACAGAATAGCTGTGGGGAAAAGGTAGCAGCTTTTCAGTTTGCCAGTATTACTAACACCAAGACAAAATAATTTTTTTTCACTAGTACTGTCTAGAACCTCAGCATCAGGTCTGGCTCAGTCAAGCATGAAAACTGTTCATCCTGTGACTCTCCCCACTTTTGGTGCCTTTCAACTGTTTTTTACCTGGGAAACCTTATGACAGCAGTATCTTGCAACATAAAACATTATTGCCCTACTCTGTGTGCTTGGGATTTTATCATTATAGCAGAACACCAAAAGCAGCAGGTTAGCAGATTTGCTGCTGAGCTGGTTGGGTGCCTCTGTGTCATTAGTCCATGTTACATGTGCTACTGAAGCCCGGCACTCACTGCTTAGCATGGAGGCACAGAGACAGAAAAGAAGCACTGCTGGCAGCCATCATCAGCTAATTTTTTTTGTCTGTGATTTCAGGATGTTTAAGACACAACAGAGCTTTTTTCTCATTAGTGAGGGTCAGTATGCAGAAAACAGATCTCATGAAGTCCTGGTGTACTGTGCCACCCTGTTCCATCTTCATTTCAACATCACCCGCTCCCACCTTGTCTGAAAAGTTATACACTCTACTGGATGCCTTGGGAAGACGGATTGTTTTCATTTGCAGAGAGGTTTGAAGCAGAGCACTTTTAAAATGACATTGTAAGAAATTGCTACAGTGGAAGACCTGATCTGACTTTTATTTATATAAAAAGAGATCAGGGTTAGGATTTCTAGTTGGAAGAAGCCCATGATTTTACTAGGACACGGAGGCTCATTCTTCTCTCTTGGCATGCCATGCTCTCTGCAATCTATCTGAGAGGCAATAAAGGAGGTAATAAAGTGGCAATCAAAAACAACGCTTCAGTAGTCCTGAGCCACAGTTTGTGGGATCTCATTTGGAACTTATTTACCTAACCCCCTCCCACACATCTGTCTGTCTTAGACACCTACAGGAGTCGTCTCTTTGGAGGGCTGGAGATTGTCAGAAGATTAAATTTATTTCTTAGATCAATCTGGAAGACTTTTTTGTTGGGAAGAGGAAATGCAGAGAGGTAAGGGTATATGGGCACTGCAGGTATGGAGTAAAGAGACAGCAGTAATGACTCTGGATCCAGGAGCCATGCATTTCCATCAGTGCCATATTGTACTTGGTTAACTGACCCTGCTAAGAAGAATTTGGTATTTGGCAGCAGAGCTGCTCACCTCATAATACGTCTGAGCAAATAGTTCAGAACAAAGTTGATGTATTATCTTTTATTGGCAGGCATACAATAAAAACAAGATATGTATAAGCTAATTATAATTTGTTCACATTCATTATTTTACATATTTTAAAAAGCTGTCTTTCACAGATCTTTATATGTTGATTATGAACCATTCTGTAAACATCATCAGTCTTCTTGGTTCCTTATTTGCAGTTAGGTATGAGGACTTTCAAGACCATGTTTCTGATCTAACTGCAACAAGTTCACAGTGTGGCTGGTTTTCATAATCCTGTGTGGATAGATTGGATGCTTTCTCTTGTTCATAAGGATGGCAAGAATGACATATACTTTCTGCAGGTTTTCATGCCAGTAGAGACTGACCTGCATGTGACAGAAAAAGGCTGAAGAGAGGTATGAATGATCTTAAAATTCAAAATTATATGGACAGAAGAGGCTTCTTTATCAGTTTCCTCTGTTTTACATTACTACTCTGGAAGTACTTTTCATTTCCTCTCTCTATTTTTGCACATATCTTCTCTTGGGCAGGAATGTGTGTAAAGGGTAGAGCTGAATAGAGCTGAACAG